GCGGAATGATAAATCGGATTGCGGGGGTCTTTGCGCGGAGAGGGTATAACATTGAGTCCCTTGCTGTTGGTCTGAACAAGGACAAGGCTCTCTTTACTATAGTTGTGTCTGGGACTGAAGCAGTGTTACAGAATGTTATGGAACAGCTACAGAAGCTGGTCAATGTATTGAAGGTTATTATCATGCCAATTTTATACCCTGCTTGTTCGAACTCGCTTATCAGCATGCATGAATCATAAAATTCTGCTTCATGAGATATTATGGACGAAGACCAAACTGATCTTGGATATCTGTTTGTTTTACCTAAGCTTGAGGATTAGGAAAGAGACACAGGCCTGCTACTAGATATGTTTTCCATTGCCAACGCCTTGGAAAAGCCTCTGAAATTTAAAGATGGGTTCCTTCTTGCTTGCCTGAATCCACCCACTTCAATTTATTAAAGAGCTAAGCTAAGCTCTTCAAAACTAGTTGCTATATGTACAGAAACTGGTTTTAGGAAATTGGTTTATTCAAGCTTGAATTGATTTGATTTGCTTGGTTGGGATCCTTATCTTCCTAATTGATGAGCAATGTTGATTCTTAGTTACTTAATTAGGCTGAAGATATTCTCATAAAACTTTGTTAAGATGATTGCCCTTGCTGGGAATTGATTCATGTTAAAACAGGAATTCTTCACTTGTCAGTTGCAGTTATGCCTTGTTTAGTCCTGTCAAGATAAATGCTTCAGAATATTTAAGATAAGTTTAAACTTTCACTTGAAATTGTTGCCAGGTTGAAGATATATCCAAGGAGCCACAAGTTGAACGTGAACTGATGCTAATAAAAATTGATTCAGATCCAAAGTTCCGTGCTGAGGTAGGAACACTATGTCCTAGAATGTCAAATAACTTATTTTTCAAAAAGTAGATTTGAAATTTATTCTGTTCTTTACATTTTCCATTTGGGTTGTTATCTTATTGAACCCTCTTTCAGCTAATTCACTTCTCTGTGTTCAGTTTTAACACTTTTTTGTTTGGATTCTTGGCTATTTTCACCAGGTTATGTGGTTGGTAGACATCTTTAGGGCCAAAATTGTGGATATCTCAGATCACTCACTCACTATTGAGGTGGACTGTTAACTCTTTCAGAACTGATCATTGAAGAAAGTCTTCAACTTTACTGTGCTACTTGTTGCCAAGAGCCTTTACGTATTTTTGGATGCCTCAGTTATACTACCAAGAAAAATTTCCTTGCCTTCAGTAATGTTTAGTAATTACTAGCCTTCTTCGTGGCTAAAGGAAATGGAAGGATTTCTGGTGCTTCCTGAACATCTTAAACTAACACCTATTACATATCTGATATCTCACAACAGGGGTTTGTAAAGGACAAAAGTGCAGTTGTAAATAGAAAGCATATTACCCTGCATATATAAGTAGCTGGTGCATTATGGTATTCAATAGAAAGCATGGCCTGGCTAACAGGCTAAGTTGTTTTAGAGCATTCATATACACTTCAGTTTGGCTCATTCAGGAAATTGGTCGAGTTGCATACAGGTAACTGGAGATCCAGGGAAGATGGTTGCAGTTCAGAGGAACTTGAGTAAATTTGGCATTAGGGAAATTGCCAGGACTGGAAAGGTACATATCTCTATTGCTTGATGAAAAGTTTTAATTTTGTGCCCCGTCATATTGCTCCAAGTAACTATATATATCTTTGTGTTTAGATTGCCTTGAGACGGGAAAAGATCGGGGAATCTGCTCCTTTTTGGCGGTTTTCAGCTGCTACATATCCTGATCTTGAGGAAGTGATGCCCATTGATACTGTTTCAAGGAAAACATTGAGATCTCATAATGGATATGATGATGCTACAGTTGGGGTATGCCGTCATACTTGAATATACATTTTGCATTATGGCTAAGTTTACTCTCTTTGCATGAATACACATCCTGTGTTATGGCTAAACTTACTCTCTTTGATCTCTCATATTGATGACATCCTTTTTCAAGGCATATCCTTATAGGATTTAAGTACCCTTACTCAAATTTATTGACTAGCACACATACTCTAGAGAAGGATGGTTACTGGAGAGCGAGGGCTGCCCTGATATTTTTTTCATTACTAACATAATATGACTCGTCTGGTTGTTTTCATGGCCATATATGTCATGGACAATTAACTTATTATTTTCATTGTTCATAAGAATATTTTTAAACAATCCATTTTAATGTTTATGGGGTTTACTTCATTGTTTCTAGATTTCTTTTACAGTGTTGGGGAATGGGGACTAAGTTTGTAAGATTGGAATTTATGGGCAAATATTTTAGTGAGGAACATATGGCCTTACATTTGCTTACCCCCAAAGTAATGAGCTGTAAGTGGAATATGTGTGTCAGTGTGTGTGCAAGGCATCATACATTATTAGGTGTCATAATATCAGATTATTTTGATTAGTACTTTTGTTTGTGGATAAACCAGTGAAGCTGATGGTGAATATTTGCCCCTCAAATATCATATATGTTATTTACACATGTGAAGCTGCTGCTGATGTGCAATGTATATCTGATATCTGTATTTGTCCCTGTTTGAAGGGAGATGTTTATCCAGTAGAGACAGCTGATGAAGCTCCAGTCAGTCAAGTTCTTGATGCTCATTGGGGTGTTCTCACCGATGATGATGTATGTAAAATCACTGCTTTTAATTTTCCCAATATCCTCACTTTTTTTTTTTTTTTTTTTGCTGCTTTTCTCTTTCAAAGTTATTCAGCTTCCCTTGTCAGATTTGCTGGCCTTGTTTCTACCAGCAAATGGAATTGATCCTATCTTTTGCCTGAGATATTGGCTAAAAAATTATCATTATTATTTTTCCTTGGTAGTTAAAGATCATTTTTCTAATTGTTTTTCTTCTCAAATTACTACGCAACCTCATGAGAATAGCTCTCTGAAATCTGAATTTTAGAAATTCATTTGTCATTGTTATTTTTTGGAAAGTATACAAATTAGGGTTAATGAATTTCATCTTAGTTTTGTCCTTTATTTTTCTACATATTGGTAGTTACCTGAGGATGTTGTCCTTTTGATTAAAAATTTTGACACTTTAAAATTGGCTTAATCACAGACTAGTGGGCTCCGTTCACACACATTATCATTGCTTGTAAATGACTCTCCTGGAGTCCTCAACTTAGTGACGGCAGTTTTTGCTAGACGTGGCTACAATATTCAAGTACGCTCTATTAACAATGTGCCTAACACAATATTTTACACAGTTATGTCTTTCTACTTTTTTTTTTTTTTTTTTTGGCTCAATTATCATTGTTTCCTGTCACCAGAGTTTAGCTGTCGGGCATGCTGAAGTTGAAGGACTATCCCGCATTACAACTGTAGTTCCTGGTACTGATGAATCAATCAGCAAGTTGGTTCAGCAACTTCATAAATTGGTAGATCTCCATGAGGTGAGGGCAGCTAACCATTAGCTATGCTGATACCACATTTACACTTCTGTGATTTTCCTTGGTAAGAGTTGGGTCCTTAATTGGGTAATTGCACCTTTCAAGTTTCAATTTTAGCATCTTCCACATCATCACATAGAGGAGAATGCTTTGTGGGGATCTGCAACCATTATGGTTACAACTTTTTTTCATTATCAACACTCATAGAAGTTTATGTAGTTAATGCAGAGCCTTTTCCCCTGAAGCTTTTTTCAATTTGGATTAATAGAATGATGCATTATGGTTAGTTTTTTGAAGTGTGCTTGACTGGACCCATGTCCACACTCACCAGTGATCTGTGCTTGCTCCTGAGTAGTCAAATGAGTAACAGATTTGCTGACATTCAGGTTAGGGATCTTACCCACCTGCCATTTGCTGAGCGAGAACTCATGTTGATAAAAGTTGCAGTAAATGCAGCTGTCCGTCGCACTATTCTTGATATTGCCAGCATTTTTAGAGCAAAAGCTGTTGATGTGTCTGATCATACCATAACTCTTGAGGTGTGTATTAATTTCTCTGTGAAACTTTTACCATTAAAATGCTGCTATTATATACAGTGGTGTTGTTTGGTAAAGCTTGTTTAATCAAATATTGATCATTTACTTTCTCCTTGGTTCACAGATAATGGATTATAAATCTTATATACTCCTTAGCAGTTTTATAGGAAATAATTTGTCCATAAACAACGTGGAGTTGCTAATTTACAATCCACAATCATAATTGCATAATCAATAAGCTTTACCAATTTGTACCATATACTATATCTCAACTTTGTGACTGGATTTAATTCACATGTACCACCTAAATACTTTGTTGGAGTTGTTGATGCTAACAATGGTCATGAATGTGAAATGGCGGACAAATTTGGTCTCATGCCTCTCTCATATGGGGCTTATCTTTTAGCATGTTGAGTTCATATGTGAGTTATATTAACTTATATATTGTGTGCACTTGTTCCAGCTTACTGGAGATTTGCATAAGATGGTTGCTCTACAGAGGCTGCTGGAACCCTATGGTATTTGTGAGGTATGATTCTGACTTTAATCCTCTTTACCGCAATTGAAAACCTTTAAAAATGCTCACTGTTGGTTACAAGTACTTATCCAAGTGGTGTTCTCTTGGACAGGTGGCTCGAACTGGACGCGTGGCACTGGCACGTGAATCAGGGGTGGACTCGAATTACCTCCGAGGATACGCTTTCCCATTATAGACTCAGTTGTTGAACTAAAGGAAGGTGGCACGAGTCTGGAAGGAGTTCTCCATTTTCTTAAAACAGGAACCTGCAATTTCCAAATTTAGGTATATATGTGTCCTCTTCATCTTCTGGTATTATAATTATTTTGAAGGGTAGGATTTTGAGGCAATAAAGAGATGGACATGTGTGTTGTAGCCTTGAGCTTTTTTAGTCAGTTGCTTTTAAATTAGCTAATAACATTACAATATAGCTTTAGCTTGGTTATAAGTCTGAGTAATGTTACTGGGAAAAGACATTACCACTGGCCATAATTACCCAAGAGTGATTTACTGAAGCAGTAACTTCTTAACAAAAGCAAAGTATATGAATATGGCAGTACAGCATACCCCTCCCTTTAGTAGATTAGAAGCACTTTATTATTCTTCTGAAAATATTGATTGGAGGGCATAATAAGGAAGCAGACTCATCAGATGAGAATAGCAATTAACCAACTCGATTTATTGGTGTGAAATGGTAACAACTTGCTTCCCAACATTTCGACCAGAGAAAAGCCCAATCAAAGCAGCGGGAGCAGTTTCAAGTCCCTCGGCTACATCCTCGACGTATGTAACCATCCCTTTCTTTATGCATGGTAGAATCATGTCCAGATATTGTGGATAACGATGGTAGTAATCGAATACCAGAAATCCTTGGATGCGAATTCGTTTAGAGATTAGGCAGAATGAGTTGTGAAGACCTTCTGGTTTGTCAAGGTTGTATTGTGAGATCATTCCACACGCAGCGATCCTGCCGTGGAGCTTCATGTTGAGAAGCACGGCGTCCAACATCTTTCCCCCCACATTCTCAAAGTAAATATCAATTCCATCAGGAAAGAATCTGAACAAATTAATTGAAAAAAACAATTCAAGTTGGCATGTTTTAATTATATATCTTCAATGAAAAACGTAACATGCATAATTATATATATATTGAAGAAATTAAACCTTTTCAAAGCTGCATCCAAGTCCTGCTCCTCTTTGTAGTTAAAAGCCTCATCAAACCCAAATTTGTTCTTCAACAGATCAACCTAAACATATACAAAACCATACATACATACAGATAATACAAATTAACCGTACGTACCAAATCTATAGGAAGTATAAAACTAATTAATTAGTTAACATTAAATTGATGAATTAGTCCAAAAATTTATCGATCATATGTAATAATTAATATAATGAAACAAATAAAACCTTTTCTTTGCTTCCAGCGCTACCAACAACATAGCAACCAAAAAGCTTGGCTAATTGTCCAACAAGCTGACCAACAGCACCAGATGCGGCTGAAACATAGACAGTGTCTCCTTTCTTGGGAGAACACACCTCATAAAATCCAACATAAGCAGTCAGACCAGCCATGCCTATATATAAAACAGAGACGGCCGTAGTATTATTTTTCACAGACAGGTAGGTTATAGATAGTTATTAATGAATGATGAAGATTATGAACATTGAACGTACCCAGGAGTCCAGTATAGTAAGAAAGAGGCACATCTGTATGCTCGATTTTAAAGAGGGCCTGTGTATCAGTGATAATGGTGTACTCTTCCCATCCAGTCATCCCCCAAACCAAGTCGCCTTTCTTGAAGTTTGGATTATCAGAATCCACGACTTTAGCCACTCCATATCCCACAATGGGCTACACAGTACACCATGTTCAATTCCTTCTCATAAGTAGTCATTTTGAGTACGTACGTTTAAAGAAAACCAAAAAAAAAAAAAAAAAACAAGTCAAAATACGTACAGATCCGGGAGTGAAGGACGGAACATAGGAGTCATGGGGTTTGCTCATGCGGTCACGCATGTAGGGATCGCAGGAGAGATAGAGGTTCTTAACAAGCAGGGCGTTGGAATCTGGGGGAAGCTCCAGCTTGAGAGTGAGGGTTCGTAGTTCCATGTCTGACTCCTTGGGAAATCCGGTGACGTAGTGTTTCAGTATTACCTGCTTGTTGCTCACTTCCGCCATTATTATACTTCTGCTAATGTGTGTGGCGCTGGGTTTTCTATATATGCTTCTTTCTCAACGTACTATTTTTTGATAGTACGCAATATGAACCATGAACTGCGCGGCTATCGGTAGAAAAGTCTATGATAGCCAATTACTCATACCCCACCATGTGTAATGTGTTTAACATGCATTTCGCTTTTTATTGCTTGTCGTAATAATTTTCATACATACCCTCCTATATTTCATCTATGAGTTAATTCCACGAAAGATTCTTGTATTTGGTGGTAATTCCAAATTTAGTCCCAGACTATTAGTTTTGGGACACTTTTAATGACTTTTTTTATTTTTTGTAAGGGCGGTTTTGTCTTTTCATACTTTCTTTTGTTATTTTTTCAGTTTCAGCCGATTTAACTGGTTTAAAACTTTAGGTAACATCTGATTTTTAGTAACAATATTTTTCAACAGGTTTTTAGTAAGGTTATAAACCAATTTAACCGGTTGAAACAGGAAAAATAACAAAAGAAAAATATTAATAGATAAAAATGCCCTAATTAAAAATAGAAAAAATTAGAGAAAGATTAAAATGTCCAAAAATTAATAGTCTGGAATATGTTAAATGACAAAAACAATAGTCTGAACTAAATTTGATGCCACCAAAGACAAGGGACCTTTAATGGAATTACTATTCAGTATTCACATGGCCTCATCAATTCAACTTTTCAATATTTAATTATTAATTAAATTTCTTTTTTAATTCGCGATGAGATTTTCCTCATCACTCCAAAAACAAAAAGAAAAAAAAAAAACGTGCGTCTTCATCACTACTTTCTATGACCTAATTATTCCTCTTACCATTAATACCTGATTGCTCCATAGTCCACTATCTTTTACGTAGAGATGTCAACTAGGCCAACATGTTCAGTTTCAATCTAAATCTATTAGCCTATAAGTTTACCAGTTCGGGTTAATTGTTTTTTTTGTTTTTTTTTTTTTTTTTTTTTTTGGGTTTAAAATTATTGTTCCTAACTCTAAACCTCCATGTTGTCGGATCTATTTGATCCGGTTTAACTAAAACTTTTGACATTTTTAAATTAATATTATAAACTTACAATCTTAATAAACTGATGCATTTACGCTAATTAATAAATATAAACTTATATATCATTCAATCAATCTAAACCTCAATTTCTAAATTACAACTAAAAATAATTACTCCCTAATTTTGTGATAAATTTATTAATATATTTATTAAGATTTTACTTACAAATTTAATAATAATAATAATAATAATAATAATAATAATAATAATAATAATAATAATAAGCTTACATATAAACTCCAATATATTTTGTTTCACACCGTAAGTGGCTCAAGCAATTAAGCTAGCCTACTAAATTTTTGGCTAACTTGTTCGGGTTATTGAGTTTATTAGTTTGAGGCTTATCGGGATAAAAAATATATCATTAAGAATATCTTGTTATGATATTTTAAACGAGACACATATAGATAATTATTTTTGATGATTTTTAATGGACCGAACCCACCATAAAACTGGATTGATATTGGGTAATGGGTACGAAAAACGTATTGGATTAATAGGGCATAGGGTCCTTGAAATAAACAAACGGGCTATAAATGTATTAAATAAACAAAGGAAATGAATTTGGCACATGGGGCCCAACTACCAAGCCCAGCCATAGGGGGTGAATTGCCATTGCTAACTAGCGGATCGTAGAGACAAGTGACGTACTATGCCGTTGATTGATGGAGAAGTCAAGAGAGAATGAGAGCAGATGATGATGACGCCTTGGAAGGAAACCTCCTCTTTTATACTACGCCTAGGATCGTATGTTGTGGACAGGTGAGTGGACCACAACTCTCTGTCCTCCTCTACCAGTTTACAGTATGCGTATCCCACTAAGTGTTGCGTTCTCCCGCCAAATATCGCCCCACGTGTCACGTCGCAGGCCACGTTTTGCACATCGCCAACTGCTCCTCCCAAACGCTACCTTAGCCCAGGCCAACCGCTCTTCCCCGTCGCTTGTTTTTTCGAATTGTGTTCCATACCGTGCTACCAAACGCACCATTAGCCCTCTTTCAAGAAAAAAGGCCCAACTCCACTTTCCTAATTAGATTCCCCTTGGTCAAGCCCGGCAAATTATGCTGTGCATCAGTATGCACCATGCATGGTGCATACGGATGCAAAAACGACGTCGTTTTAATAAAACGCGCGTCTCCCCTTAAAAAAAAAAAATCAGGTTCGATTCCCAGCAACAACATATGAACTAAAATTCCATAATCGATGAACTATAATTTCATAATCTAATCTATGAACTAAAAATTCTAGAATGGATGAACTAAAATTCCATAATCTATAAACTAAACTTTCAGAATCGATGAACTACAATTCCATAATCGATGAACTATAATTCCATAATCAATAAATTATAATTCCATAATCTATGAACTAAAATTCCAGAATGAATGAACAATATAATGTTGTTGCTGAGAATCGAACCTGAAATTTTTTTAAAGGGGAGACGCGCGTTTTTTAATAAAACGACGTCGTTTTGGCATCCGTATGCACCATGCATGGTGCATACGGATGCACAGCATAATGATTCATCAAGCCCACCTCTCACTTTAATTATTCTTTGGACGGTACCCCAAAGGCCCACCAATTTCAATCATTGTGTGATGAATATGAAATGATGAGTTCTACTCTACATACTTCCAAATTCTACTCCCTGATGTGGCAAACAATGATTATTTATTTTCATCAGATTCACAAAAAATTCAATATCAAGAACTTGTGAGGGGGAGTATAAAATGAGAGTCCATCAAGTATTTTCCATATGAAATAGTGTCTACTTTATGAACCTACACATGGTGACACGACACCACAACGCTCCCAAATTTGGGAGTTATATATATATATATATATATATATATATATATATATATATATAATGCATACACTTTTATAACAATTTTGATAGTATGTACATTAAAGATAGTTGCAAGTTTTTGATGTTGTTAATCAATTCAAATACAACCACATCAAATCTTCATTAGAAATTTGAAATATTTAAAATGTTTTTTTTTAAATAATAAAAAGTTGTAAGTGATAATTATAAGTGAAACGAAAAAAGGAGGCATTATATATATATATATAGAAAAACGCTCATATGTGGTCATGTCATTAGGTGTGGTCGTGTGGTCGTATCTGAGTCGTAGAATCAGTTTAATCTAAAGGTTGTGGTAATTCTGAGGATTTTCGCGCGTTTTAGTAAGTGGGGGTGTTATGGTAATTACAGTGACCATTTATAGCGGGCGCGTTCCAGAATACACCAACAGTGTTGACAACATACACCAATGGTGTAATAAAACACACCACAGTGAAACACACCAATGGTGTATTCCCGTGTTATGGTAATTACAGTGGCCATTTATAGCGGTCGAGTTCCAGAATACACCAACAGTGTTGACAACATGCACCGATAGTGTAATAAAACACACAACAATGTGATTTTCCTTATTCCGGTGTTTTATGACAAGTTTACCCTTACAGTTCGCTGGGTAGGAAAATGTGCGCGAAAATACTGAAAAGATCTTGATTAATATGATTCATTAGATCTATCTAATCTAATGGTCTTTAATTGACCATATGACCACACCTAACAACATGGCCACATGTGATCACTCCTCTCTATATATATATATAATGCATACACTTTTATAACAATTTTGATAGTATGTACATTAAAGATAGTTGCAAGTTTTTGATGTTGTTAATCAATTCAAATACAACCACATCAAATCTTCATTAGAAATTTGAAATATTTAAAATGTTTTTTTTTAAATAATAAAAAGTTGTAAGTGATAATTATAAGTGAAACGAAAAAAGGAGGCATTTCGTTGACTCAAAATGGAATTAATCAAACAAGCTAAGGGAAGAGAGAAATGCAATAAGAATTGAAATCCATTCCTCGAAAGCTTAAATCAAAATAGCATTTCTGTTCTTAAGGGATAGACGACCACACATTGAACAGTCAAATTTCATACAAGGAAAGAAGCAAATTACGCTACAAATTCTTTTTAGAGTTAATACCCAAAATGGTCCCTTGACTATACCATAATTACCAATTTAGTCCTCAACTACCATTCTTATCCAATTAAGTCCTCAACTATGTAACTTTTACTCAATTAAGTGTCTTACCCAATTTAGTCCTCAACTATACAATTCTTACCCAATTTAGTCCTCTGTATTAATTTGACTGTTTGTTAACTGTAAAAAATCGGGATAAAATTATAATTTTACAAGATTTCTCCTTCCTTTCCATTTAGCAGCGCCAAACCATGCAGCAATACACTCCGATCAGATTTCGATCGTCAAAAAATCGTTGGAAATCAAATTCATGGGCTATCCGATGCATAACCACTACTTCGATACTGACAGGTTTAGAACCCAACCGGAGCTTATTGCTACATGATTTGACGCTGCTAAATGAGGAGGAAGGAGAAAACTTGTAAAATTACAACTTTATTTCCACTTTTGACAGTCAACAAACAGTTAAATTGACAAAGGACTAAATTGAGTAAAAATTGTATAGTTGAAGACTTAATTGGGTAAGAATGATAGTCGATGACCAAATTAGTAATTACGACATAGTCGAGGGATTATTTTGGGTATTAACTCTTCTTTTTATGTGCCCACCACCACTACACGTTTTACTCCACTTCAATTCCTGCCACTCATCAATCAATCATCATTTATGTTCAAACTCAACCACTCTTCTTTTTTTTTTTTTTTTCCTATACGTGTGAAAAAGATAAACAAACAAACAAAAGATTAGGGAAACGTGACCAAACAACTCTAACACACTCAATAATCGTCAAAATATATATGTTGAACATACACCACTCAAATGAAAGACTTTATTATATATAGTATGTAAATGTTTAGTATAATGTAAATTTGAGAACATATATATAGCTAGCAACTGTACTATTATTCATATATTATCATGTGAAATGGCCACCAACTGCTTCCCAACATTGTGACCAGAGAAAAGGCCGATCAAAGCAGCAGGAGCAGCTTCAAGCCCCTCAGCTACATCCTCTACGTATGTAACCTTGCCTTCCTTTATCAATGGCAGCATCATCTCCAAATATTTCGGGTAGAGATGGTAGTAATCGCTTACCAGAAATCCTTCCATGCGAATTTGTTTTGAGATAAGGCAGAATAAGTTGTGAACGCCTTCATGTTTTTCCAGATTGTACTGCGAGATCATTCCACACACAATGATGCACCCCTTGAGGTTCATGTTCAGCAGCACTGCATCCAACATCTTTCCCCCCACATTTTCAAAGTACAAATCAATTCCCTTAGGGAAGTACCTAAAACAACACACTTTTAATTTACTAAAAATATCCTCCTAACAAATAGGGCAGCTTATTATATTACACTCACCTTTTCAAGGCTGCATCCAAGTCCTGCTCCTCTTTGTAGTTAAAAGCTTCATCAAACCCAAATTTATTCTTCAGCAGATCAACCTGATCGATGCAAGGGGATCAGAGCAATATATATAATGTTGCAGACAAGTATATATAAAATTGATCTAATTACTTATATATATTAAACTAACCTTTTGTTTGGTACCAGCACTACCAACAACATAGCAACCGAAAAGCTTAGCAAATTGTCCGACAAGCTGACCGACAGCACCAGATGCAGCTGAAACAAACACTGAATCTCCTTTCTTGGGAGAACACAGTTCATATAATCCAACATAAGCAGTCATACCGGCCGGACCTATATATAGATCGAATATTTTTATTTCAATTCGCAGATATATTAATTAGTAACTTGATATATATGAATGATTACGATTACCAACTTACCGAGGAGTCCAGTGTAGTAAGAAAGAGGGACGTCGTCATCTTCTTTATGTTGGATTTTAAAGAGAGACTGAGACTGTGTAGCGGTGATAATGGTGTACTCCTCCCATCCGGTCATTCCCGCAACCAAATCACCTTTCTTGAAATTTGGATTATCAGAATCCACGACTTTAGCAACACCAATTCCGACAATGGGCTAACATTAATTAGATGTTTCAGTTATTACGGTCCTTAAAATTATAAAATTAAAATATAAAAATGATCGAGTTGAAACTAACGAATTGAATTTGGGTTATTACTACGTACTTTTCCTGGAGTGAAAGAGTCGATATAGGTGCCGTGGGGTTTGGTCATGCTCATGCGACCACGCATGTAGGGGTCGCAGGAAAGGTAAAGGTTCTTCACAACAACGGCGCCGGAACCTTGTGGAACCTCAAGCTTCACACTAGTGGTTCGGATTTCCAAGTCGGAGTCTTTGGGAGATCCGGTGACGTAGTGTTTCAGTATCACCTGCTTGTTGCTCACCTCCTCCATATCCATTTAATTTCTCCTTCTCCCCAGCTCTGATCTGATATGATTATATTGTTGAGGTTGTCAATTAAAGGCTTAAAGCCTGTGGCGGAGGCATGTCACAGGCATAGTATCTCATAGGTAAATTATGCTGTGCATCCGTATGCACCCTGCATGGTGCATATTTATGTAAAAACGACGTCGTTTTGTATAAAATGCGCGCCCTACTTAAAAAAAATCAGTTTCGATTCCCAGCAACAAAATTATGTTATTCATTTTTAGTTCATTCATTTTGAATTTTTTAGTTATGAAATTCTGGAAGTGTAGTTATGCAATTCTGGATATGTAGTTATGAAGTTATGGATGTGTAGTTATGCAATTCTAGAATTATAGTTATGCAATTCTGGAAGTGTAGTTATGTAATTCTGGAAGTGTAGTTATGTAATTCTGGATGTATAGTTATTAAATTATGGAAGTGTAGTGAAATTATGAATGTGTAGTTATGCAATTCTGATTTTTTTTTTTAAGTTAGACGCCAAAACGACGTCGTTTTTGCATCCGTATGCACAGCATAAAGCTCCGCCATACCCGTAGGGAACCAATCATTATCATTATTCCATGGACCATGGTCCACATATATATTTGTGTGAGCCATAGATAAAAAGTATATTTTTAATATACTAAAAATACATTATTTATATACATAAAATACATTATTTGAAAGTACATAATTTTTTATATATTATCAAATAATGTACTTTTAGTATATTAAAAATGTCAATTTCATTCTTGATCCACACAACTATGTGAACGATAGTCTACACAATAATTTGCCATAAGAGACCGCCCCCTTCCCCTCTTTATTTATAATTATATAAATACTAGTTTTTTGCGCGCATTGCGCGATTGAGATAATGCCCAATGATTTTTTTTTAAATAAGTACTTTAAAGTATATTAAGGCAAGATTATATTGAAATTGTTCATGCATAGATAATTGAAGGTTGAATTTACCTATTTAAATAGGTAATTCTTCTCCCAAAGGTTGAGTCCCCAACCCCAAGGGCCCCCCACACTCCGACCCGACAGAGCATTGTGGGAAGTTGTAAATCACGGCGACTCAACGGTTCAGCAGACAGGGCCAAATGCTGATACGCATAAGGAATCTGCCCACTTTGGACATAATTCCCGCATTGCGACCGCCGAGGTTCAAACCTTGGTCTCTTCTCCCAAATGCTACCCACTAAACCATTGAGCTAAGCCCGTGCGGGTTAAATAGGTAATTCTAAGTTTACAAATGCAAAATAATATAGTTAATATTGATTATAATTGTCAATAAAATAATTGTATAGGTATGGTTGAAACCAAATACGGGACATAAGGGAGAACAAATAAAAATTAGGGCATAAAATATTAAATATATACTAATATTGTTTGAGGAGATTCCGACAGGATTTGTGGTTAAGTTCTATTAAGACTTTAATATTAGAATTAGATTAATGGTGTAGTTATAATTCTATATTAGACTTTAATATTAGAATTAGACTAACCGTGAATTAATGGAAAAGTTAAATGGATAATCATATAATTAAGAATAAATTAGAAAATCTTAAAAGAAAAAAATTAAAACCTGAACAATATGAACCATTCATTTGATTTAATAATTTGGCGGTCATTTTTTCTACCCAATGTTAATAATTAAATAAATTCGCTGGTCAAATCCGCTAACGCTAACCGCTAACTGCTGATTGTCAAACAAGGACATTGCGAGGTAGTTCTCACTTCAATTTGTTGTGTGATTTGAATACTCTCTTTGTCACAAAATCTCTCAAGTAGTTAATATGGTTGGCTTTATTAATTATATTTTTTTTTTTAATTTTTTCATGATATTTATAAAGTACTTGGTAAATAAATATAAATTATTTTATAACTTTGATATTTAATTAGAAAAATAGTGCACAAAAAAAGATAATAGATAATGTAGTGAATATAATCAATTGATGAATTTGAATGTAATAATTTTTACATTTGAGAAAAATAAAGACAATATAACTAATGAAAATATTTCTTTTAATTAATTTATTGATAATTAATAATTTTTTTTTCATTGAATAAAGACATTGTAAGGACAATGTAGCGAATATAATCAATTAATAAATTTGAATATAAAGAATTTTTATATTGAAGAAAAATAAAGACAATATAACTAATAATTTTTTTTTTTTTAATAAAGACATTGTGGACACACAATTCTAAATTAAAGAAATGCATATGTATTATTTTTTGTTGTAACTACTAAATTATTATTTATATAATTTAATAAGAGTAAAATAGAGTACTAATTATGCCAACTTTGATTGGGATGAGGTTCGAACCTAAGACCTTTTTTTTTTTATTGAAATCAATGAGTAAGTTAACGGTGAACTAACGGCAATTCTTAAAATTTTAACGGAATTAGTAACGGTGTGTGGGTATTTTAGGAAATTTTAGTGTAAAATTTAAATCTGATCAATCTTTTAATTAATCTGAGCCATTCATTTGATTAAAATCTGTGACCGCCATTTTTTCTACGAATTATAGGCCTAACTCTCTTGGGCTCTTATTAGTATAGTAGATTATATATAATATTACTCCGTAACATTTTTTTTTATTATAAGGAAGGGATACCCTACATATACACACTATTTGCCTCAATTAAAGTTTAAACCTTTCACCTCCCACTTAGGGGAGCAACCCGATACCAGTGGACTATAAGCCACTTGGTACATTTTGTTGTCCTTTTAAAATATTTGGCTCCTTTCTAATTTAAATTAATTTTGCAAGCTAAGTTACACATTTGATCTTTACACTTCTACATCTTTTCAACTTTTTCAATTCTCTCTTTTGAGTTTCAAATTTTGTATTCCATATACTCTGTATTAGTTAACTCGCATTTAAACCTCTTTTAAACTACCTACTAATTCTGTATTAGTTAATTTGCATTCAAATCTCTTTTAAACTACCTACTAACTCTGTATTAATTAACTCACATTTAAACATCTTTTAAACTACCTACTAGTTCCTCTCTAGAAACATGCATATATACATCATATAGGTTAATGTGAAATACTTTACCATTATGCGCTGATATAATTGTGGCTAGGCTAATTTAAAAGAAGAATTAACAAAAAGAAGAATATATAGATGGTGGATGGAATTTAAAACGAAAATAATCCAGAAATTGTTAACGTAGACAACCTGATGGGGTTTGGGCAATTTAAATTGAGAATTAATTATGACAACAAAAACAGAGGTGAAAAGTCAGAGATATAATTAGGCAAAACTAAAAGAGTAGAACTAAATGCAACAATGCAATAATAATAGAGGATTAAAAGTGAAATTTGCTCCATATTTATTATGAAGGTGGATCTGCTGAACAAAGCAAGATTATATATATCACAGCATACCCATCTCAAGCGCTTTATTTAGAAAGCCAAGCAGAGAAGAACACACATACATAAACACACTATTCATGTGAAATGGCCACCAACTGCTTCCCAACATTCCGACCAGAGAAGAGCCCAATCAAAGCAGCCGGAGCACTTTCAAGTCCCTCAGCTACATCCTCAACATATGTAACCTTGCCTTCCTTAATGCATGGTAGTATCATCTCCAGATATTTTGGATACAGATGGTAGTGGTCAGCTACAATAAATCCTTCCATGCGAATCCGTTTTGCGATAATAGAGGTTAAGTTGTGAACACCTTCTGGTTTTTCAAGATTGTATTGTGAGATCATTCCACACACAGCAATGCGCCCTCGGAGGTTCATGTTCAGAAGCACTGCGTCCAGCATCTTACCCCCCACATTCTCGAAGTAAATATCAATTCCATTAGGAAAACACCTAAACAAAACAAGACTTCATTGAGAATTGTAGGCATGTAATGATATTTATAATAATATTGCACAAGTATAGGATATCTTCCGGAACAAAAGGAAAGTAATTCATCAAAGACCTCACTTCAATCACTTTATTGTCAGTGAAACAAAATAATTGACAGTCCATATTTGCAGGAGTCAAGGAATTCAATCTCATCAAACAATATACACCAATCTTCACTTTTAATGACAAATCCTCCCGAGAAACAGGGCTGTTTCTCTTACAGTGGGCCTCATATACTCTCTTGTTAGATAATTTTCTCTCCTAAAATATAATTTAGAGCATTGAACTGACCTTTTCAAGGCTGCATTCAAGTCCTGCTCCTCTTTGTAGTTAAAAGCCTCATCAAACCCAAATTTATTCTTCAGCAGATCAACCTTAACATACAGGAAAACCATAAAAATATAACAAATAGAGCAAATTTAAACAAGGTAAGCTAATTGAAACCATTTTCTAATCCACAGATTTATCATCAGTAATCTTCACATTTGAACACCCAATACTTCATGGATAAAAACAAAAGACAAGCTTTAGGTGTGCTTTGCAAATATTCAAATTTAATTGCCAGTCAAACTCTACATATGAAGTGCAAATGCATTCTGTATGCATGCACCAACAATTTAATATGCTCACGAAGAGACATGACATATATCTTTCAAGAGAAAATGGAGTAAAGACTGAATCCAATCAATTAACTAATATACTCGTGGCCTTATAAACCTATATGTTCTCTCTTATTGTTTCAATGTAGGGCTCTTAACACACCTCAAAATTAAAGGCAACATTGATGATGGAGAGGTCACAGTCACTACCAATTGCAGACAAATATAAAATTGATGAAACTAACCTTCTCTTTGCTTCCAGCGCTACCAACAACATAGCAACCAAAAAGCTTTGCTAATTGTCCAACAAGCTGACCAACAGCACCAGATGCTGCTGAAACATAGACAGTATCTCCTTTCTTGGGAGAACATACCTCATGAAATCCAGCATAAGCAGTCATCCCAGCCATACCTATAGAAGATTTCATGGATAAGACAGGTAGAGAGTAGCAATTTCATGTGAATGATCAGGATTACAAACAGTGAACTTACCAAGGAGCCCAGTGTAGTAAGAAAGAGGCACATCTGTATGTTCGACTTTAAAGAGAGCCTGCGTAGCAGTGATAATGCTGTACTCCTCCCATCCAGTCACTCCCCAAACCAAGTCACCTTTCTTGAAGTTGGGATGATCAGAATCCAGGACTTTAGCAACTCCATATCCAACAATAGGCTACATTAGATGATGGGGGTACCAGTTAATATACCAGACTATAACTTGGCTCTTGGTACATTAAAGCATATACAATTGTCCTATGCCAATTTAAAATTTCATGAAGAGAATATTAGCTTTAAGAGTGTGCACAATATCCTTCCATCAACAGCTGATGATTTGTCTTACAAAACAAAAACTTTGTAAAATCTGACAAAGACATTTTAAATGGATATTTTACATAGCAGGCAAACATAAATTTCACAGTGGATCCAGGAGCAAAGTAGTATGTCTAGTCAATTCTCTTTCCTTCTCTGTTTCATGATCCAACTTTGGACAGGCAGAAAATCAAGACCAGATTGATGCCTCAGTACAAATATTAATTCTTAACACTAAACTGGAAAAAATAAAAAATCTCAAGTTTTTTAACTTCCTTCCTTACCATAACACATATTTAATAATCAAAAGCTCAGAGCATCTATCCGCGTGCTTCAATTCCCACTTGAATTAACTAGCTAACAGATAAACGTACAGGATCTGAGGGCCTATCAATTCCTTGTTTCAGTTAAATCCTCAATCCCTAAATCTATCCAAAGCAATTACAGTAACAAAAAACAATTAATAGACGAGTTTAAAACGAATATAACCAAAAATTGAAAACATTATTAGCGTACCGATCCAGGAGTGAAAGAGTCGACATAGCTGCCATGGGGTTTGTTCATGCGACCACGCATGTAGGGGTCGCAAGAAAGATAGAGGTTCTTAAGAAGAACGGCGTTGGAACCTTGTGGAACCTCCAGCTTCAGAGTGGTGGTACGGATTTCCATGTCGGACTCTTTGGGATATCCGGTGACGTAGTCTTTTAGTACTATCTGCTTGTTGCTCACTTCCTCCATAGCCATTTCTCCCTCTCGATGCTGTTGTCTGTCTGAACAGTGAACAGTGACTGTGGAAGTCTGTCCCTGTGGTATAATTTATGGGAACCCGATTTAAATAACTTAAAATACAATGAACAAAATTGGTAAATATCACTTCACGGAGTCGTCGTCGTTGATATTTTTGTGACTGACCATACAAACTATAGTCGCTATTGTCATTGTATTAGAGCATCTCCAACCCATCTATTTTCAAAACATCAATTTTTTTTAACAAATGTTATATCAAAAAGAATATTTTCAGCATATTTTTACACTAAATTTTATTCATCTCTAACCTATTTACACCAAAACACTAAATTTTTACACTAAAATAATTTAATTTCTCAATTATTAGTTTGAATATAATTAGTTTAATATAATTTAATTCGAACTTAATTAGTTTACTATAAAATATAACTTATGATATAAATAATAATTTTTATTAATATTAATTTTTTTATAACATTAATTATTTTAAAAAATCGAATATAACAATATTTTTGAAAACTGATTTATTCCAATAATAATATAGCATACAACATTTAGTACATTTAATTATCAGAATTACTATATCGTTCCCACAAATGCTCAATCAATATATTACGGAGTGCATAATGAGCTTCTTTATCTTTAATTAAGAAATTATTGAAATATAATATGTTCTAGTTATCTTTGATGTATTTGAAATTTTAATGAGATCTTTTATTATGTTCTAGTTATGTTTGATGTATTTGAAATTTTAATTAATATATATTCAATATTAGTCTTGTTTCGATCGTCTCAATGAGATCTTTAAAATGGTATAATTTTTATTTAATAATACAAATTTTAAATATAAATATTTAACGAAATACAAAATTACATATAAAACAAACAAAGAATACATTTAGAATTATAAAAAGAAGCAATGACAAAATTAAAGGGTAATTTTCTTCTTGTTTTTAATTTGCCGCGGATGAACAGTGCAGTGCCACATATTTGGCACTGCACTGTTCATTATTGCCATTTTTTTTTTGGCGTAATAGCGCGATGCAGACACATCTTGGAGAGAGAAATTTGGTGGGATGGTACTTTGGCGTTGAAATTTGACGTATGTGGGAGATGCTCTTAGGATTAATATTTGATAACAAAAATGAGCAAATATCAATTTTGATCCCACGAATATTAATAAAATAACAATTTTGATTCACATATTTAATTCCTATAAATTTTTATCCACGACTATTATTTTAATTTTAGTGCTAACATTTATCACGCTAGTTACTCTTCCGTTTAAGACATGCAAAATTTAAAATTTTAAGGGTATTTTTGTCCTTTTTAACTTAAGATTTCAATTTAAACATAAATAAAGAGATTTAAGTTTACAATTCTCCTCCTCATCCTACCTTAATTTGAGGAGGAGACGAATTATGATCGATCTTAGGACTTAATTTTCTTTAGTCATGCTCAATTTGAAAAGAACAAAAACATCATTCATTAGGGAGGTTGTGGGATCGAGCCTCAGTAGAGGCGATACTGGCTTTTTGTGCTTCAATAAGTTGAGAAAGTAGTTATAAACAGATACTGCAATGTAATAGAATCAGTAGTATTCAATAGGTTGATAAAAATCTTGATTTTAACAAATTCGCGTAGAGAAAATAAAGACGATGTAATACAATTGAAGATAAAAATTCTTAGAAAAAAAAAGTTGTCAATTCTCTATTTTGTAAATTAAGAATCAAAATAATAATTTTTTAAATACTCATATACTATGTAAAATTTTAATAGAGTTTGATGAGTTAAAATTGTAACCTTTTGAAGAGTTAAGAGATATACTACAATGATATTAAAAAAAAAAAAAAAGTACTGTAACAGTTAGTATGAAATAATTGATAGCCCCCTTTTCCGTTAAACATGCATGTAGAGGGTACGTGGATGATAATTGGCCACAAAATTAGATATTTAGATATTGACCATCCATATCACTCCATTATGCTTAATTTGCATCATTATATTGATGTGCTTCAAAGATCTCAAACGAGATATTGTCTTCAAAAAACATATTATTACAAACAATTGATTACCCACTAATTAATGTCACATTTCTTCTCCTCCCAAATGTGACATTTCTTCTTTTCCCAAATGTGACATTTCTTAACACGACAAGTGATCATTGATTGTTAAAAAATAATTTATTTCTATTTTTATTCTTATTTTTACCAATTAAAAGAGTATATACCAACCAACAATGTTATAAGTTTGACTCTCAATAAGGACAATTTATTGACTTTCTTGATTTGAGCCAATCAACTATGAACAATCTAAATTGATTTATTTTCTACCCAAAAAAAGTACATGTCAACGAACAAGAATCTTATATTGTGTCCCCATTATTTTCTTTGAGAAAAATATATTTATTTAATGAAGTTTTCAATTTTATAATCATCATTGTTTTTGTTTTTGTTTTTGTATTTAAATATCTCCAAAATTCAATCATTAATCCCATCATTAAAAAAATTAATTAAAATTAAACCGACTCTCACTACAAGTTGAACTTGAAATCTTATGATAACTAAACTAATTATCCAATTAACTTGACTAGAGCTGCCTTATGTTGCATGTTAATTTCACACAACACTAAATTGATTATTTGTACAAGAGTATATGGAATACCATGCATAAACCTATAGGGAGTATAAAATGAGAGTACGAATTGGGAGTACATGTAAAAGGAAAATATTATCTGTACTCCTATTTTCTATTCTCAACTTTTACTCTCACACACAAAATCTTGATATAACACTTATATTGAGATTCATATAAAAAAGTAATTCATTATAATTCGCCACATAATGGAATAAAATTTAAAAAATCTAATTATATTTGGGACTCTATATAATAGATCAGAACTCCATGTAAAATTACTCATAATTGATAGCCCCTTTTCCGTTAAACATGCATGCAGAGGGTATGTCATACGTGGATGGTAATTGACCACAAAATTAGATATTTAGATTTTTATTTTTATTTTAGTTGAGAATAAGAACAAAATTAGATATTTAGATATTGATCAGAACACGGCAAATTATTACGTGGACTCACGTCCATTTTGTAAGGTGGGTTCGGGTTTAAAAATACACAATTATATTTATATATTGAATTTTTATAATTTTGTATATTAAATATTTATCATTTTCATACACAATTTACATACTAAATGTTCACAATTCAAATTATGAACACTTAATATGTAAATTATAAACATTCCGTATGTAAATTCTGTATTTTGAACCCGGTTCCTTGCCATGGTATAAATGCTGCATATGCCATAACACTCCATTATATTTATGCTTCATTTGTTTATGATTTGCATCATTATATTGATGTGCTTCAAAGATCTCAAACAAGATATTGGCCCTATTTGGTTTAAAGTTCTACTACATGTACTCCTAAATTTTACTCTCTCACTTTTACTCCATGACAGGACAAACAAAGATTAGATATTCTCATCATGTGAGTCCCAAGAAATGTGACTACATCAAGAATTTGTGAGAGGGAGTACAAATTAGGAGTAAGAAATGGGAGTCCATGTAGTATTTTCCTTTGGTAAAATATATAGTTGGCTTATCAGCTAATTTTAGCTTATTTGACCACTATTAATTGTTTAACTTCAAAATGCAAAAATTTTAAAAGCTGCTCAAAACAACTTTTTCAATTAGCTTTTTGAGAAAAGAAATTATACCAAACAACTATCAACTAAAATCAAACACTTTTCTACAATCAGCTAATATTATCAACTAGTTATATTCTCTAATTAACCCAATCAGCTAACAGCTATTAGCAAATAACCATTTACCAATCAGGGCCATAATAGTATGTGTTTTGCAAGAGAAAAGAAAACGAATTTAGTAATTTTATTAGTGCAGATAGATCACCTTCTACATGTTACACAGTCTACAGCCATGCCAAATTATATATATTATTCATCATGTGAAATGGCCACCAACTGCTTCCCAACATTGTGACCAGAAAAAAGGCCAACCAGAGCAGCAGGGGCACTTTCAAGACCCACAGCTACATCCTCCACATATGTAACCTTTCCTTCCTTTATGCATGGCAGGATTATCTCCAGATATTTTGGATACAGATGATAGGAGTCAACTACTATAAATCCTTCCATGCGAATCCGTTTCGAGATGAGGCAAAATAAGTTGTGAATACCTTCATGTTTTTCAAGATTGTATTGCGAGATCATTCCACACACAGCGATGCGCCCATGAAGGTTCATGGTGGGAAGCACTGCATCCAGCATCTTTCCCCCCACATTCTCAAAGTAAATATCAATTCCATTAGGGAAATACCTAATCAAAACAAGACATATATGTGTTGGCAATATAATATAATGTTATCATATCTGTAACAATGCACAAGCATATATAGGATATCTTTCAAAACAAAACAAAAATGATTATATTCATCAAATAAGATCATTGAAACCCTATAGTGAATGCAATCTCATCAAACAATATACTTATATACACTAATCTTCACTTTAAAGCTAGGACAATACTTTTCTCTCTTCAAACAAAATTTGAAGTATTGAACTAACTGACCTTTTCAAAGTGGCATCCAAGTCCTGCTCCTCTTTGTAGTTAAAAGCTTCATCAAACCCAAATTTATTCTTCAGCAGATCAACCTTAACATACAGGCCGGAAAACCAAAATATTAATCGAATATAATAGAGCAAATTGAAAGCATTATATTTTGTATGGTGACATCCACAGATTTACCGTACCATTCATAATATAAAATTGATGAAACAAACCTTCTGTTTGCTTCCAGCACTACCAACAACATAGCAACCAAAAAGCTTTGCTAATTGTCCAACAAGCTGACCAACAGCACCAGATGCAGCTGAAACATAAACAGTATCTCCTTTCTTGGGAGAGCACACATCGTAAAATCCAACATAAGCAGTCATACCGGGCATACCTATAATTTTTTTTGCAAATAAGACAATTAAGCTGTGATTTAATAAATTCTCACAAACAATCAAGATCACCAACCCCAAACTTACTTACTTACCGAGGAGTCCAGTGTAGTAAGAAAGAGGCACATCTGTATGTTCAATTTTAAAGAGGCCCAGCTGTGTAGAAGTGATAATGCTGTACTCCTCCCATCCAGTTATTCCCCAAACCAAGTCGCCTTTCTTGAAGTTTGGATTATCAGAATCCACGACTTTAGCAACTCCATATCCAGCAATGGGCTACATTATATTGGATGATATATAGGGATACCAGTTAATAGCTACAGGTACATTCTATTCAAGCGGATATAATTATTGTCTCGAGGCCAATTTAAAATTTCATGAATTGAAGAGAGTATTAGCTCTAAGAGTGTGCAGTGTCCTTCAATCAGCAAAAACTCTGTAAAATCTGATGAAGACATTTTAAATGGATATTTTCCATAGCAGGCAGACATAAATTTAACACTGAATCCAGGAGCAAAGTAGTATATATATATCTAGTCAATTCCTTTTCCTTCTCTGTTTCATGATCCAACTTTGGACAGGCAGAAAATCAAAATCTGTTATCCCCAAAAAAAAAAAAAAAAAAATCATTTTTTTACAATTTGAAATAACTAACAGATAAAAATATGCAGGAGCTTAGGGCCTAGAAGTCAGTTAAATTCCTCAATCCCTAAATGTACCCAAAATAATAATTGTAATAAAAGAATAGCTAGATGGGTTTAAAACGAAAAGAATGCAAATTAAAATTGGGAATTTTATTAACGTACTGATCCAGGAGTGAAAGAGTCGAAATATGTGTCGTCATGGGGTTTGGTCATGCAAGCACGCATGTAGGGGTCGCAAGAAAGATAGAGGTTCTTAACAAGAACGGCGTTGGAACCTTGTGGAACCTCCAGCTTCAGATTCCTCGTACGGATTTCCATGTCGGACTCTTTGGGATATCCGGTGACGTAGTCTTTCAGTACTATCTGCTTGTTGCTCACTTCCTCCATAGCCGCCATTTCTCTGTATGTCTCTCTCTCACTACCGATCGAGCTGTCTCGGTTGCGACGTAGAAGTATGTTCTCTCCACATATTTTTATGGGAGAGGAATTTAGCAATCATTATGGTTCCACATAATGTATATTTAGTAGATAAATAATATATATTTTTTAAAACATAAATAATGTATTTTTAGTATATTAAAAATGTATATTGATGTATTCAAAGAAAATATATTATTTTGTATAATATACATTTAATACATGCATAAATAATGTATTTTAATATATTAAAATGTATTTTTTTACGATCCATACAATAATTTGCCAAAATTAAGAAGATGGGTTTGGTTAGTCTCCTGTGAAATCTATCACGGATTCAACAATCCTTATTCATAAGAAATGAAAATATAATACTAATAAATACGAAGTAATAGTGTAATACTTTAGTAAAAAATGTAATACTTAGGAGTTAAATAATTACTTATACAATAAATGTAATACTAATTTAAGATAAATTGATTGATTGTTACTTATAAAATAAAAGATAATATTACTTATGAGAAATAATGTGATTATTTTGATAGATTTTTTTTTTTTTTTTTTTTTTTTTTGAAAAAAAAGCTGCTATATTAACTGAGCAAAGCAGAAACAAATTAAGGAGGTAACTCCCAATACATCGAATGTGCCTGCGTAAGAGCAACAGAAGCTAACGAATGTGCTACCCGGTTTAAAGTCCGAGAAATAAAAGTAATAGAGCAAGAATCAAAAGAACACATCAACCGCCTACAATATAAAAGAACTAAACTATCATATGAGCGAATACTAGTCGAATGGGAGGAAAGATGTGATAGAAAATATAATACTTCTAAATCAAGATTATGATTTTTATGATGATATTTGTGAGACAACCACATATATAGGAGATTTTGTCTTTGTGTCCTATTGGATTTAATATAATACTTATTATAGGGTGTTTGAAAAATGATTTATCAGCCAAAATTTAGTTTGTTTAACCAACTTTAACTTATTTAATTAGTCAAACAATTAATATGAGTGTTTGGTAACACTAATTAGAGTAAATAAATAAATAAAAAGGGATTATTTTAGTCATGCTAAATTATGAGTTTGTGTAAACATTAAGGCCAACTAAAAAGTACAACAATACAATTCTAATACACAAAGTACTAATTAGTTCCAATGTACCACACTCACTTATCTATAATTTACATGCAAAAGTCCATAATGTTTTTGGTGCATTTAACTTTGTATATATTCAGTACAGTGTCCCATTAACATTAAATTAAATTGCACAAAATATTAATGCAACAAACACAAAATTAGTCGAATGATTATTTAGTTACATGTTTAATTCAACACCACATTATATATACTCGACATATTGTTAAGTATGAGGGTTTGAATCAATGTCTTGAAGTGAATATATGAATTATTTGTGAAAATAAATATAGATGATAGTGCTAAGATCAGAGGTAACAAAGGATGACAATAATAATGAGTTGATTTATTCGAGATACATAAGAAAATGGCTTGGAGAAGTTAATTGTCATATTGGAGTTGTCGCGAGTTTGGTTGATAAGTTTTGAACAATTTGCTATGGAATGACAATTTGTTGAGAGAAAGGGTGAAGAAGATTGAAGTTGCAAATTGATCGAGAGAATTTGTTATTGCAGATTGAAGCGGCAAGAGGAAGAAGATTGATCAAAAACATTAAACCCTCGGAGGTGAAGCCGCTTGTACACTGCTTGCATCAAGTTGTGCAATCCCTCCTCCGACTGTTAAGTCTATATGCAGTTGACACTTTCTATATTCATTTAGTTGTTCTAAATGTATTTCTGTAGAATAGTGCAGCTTTTGTTGTAACTTCCTGTTACTTCTTTTCTTTTGTAAACTATTTATAGTCTCCGGTTTATTCATTAATAATATAAAACAATTACTTCAATTTATATCCTTATATGGTATTAAGTGTCTGAATCTATTAAGAATTTTTTTCCTTTTTCTTTCTCTTCTCCTCTTTTATCAATAGCCTCCAGTACTCCTTCGTCACGTGGTGTTGTTGCTCCTGCAATCACCAACGAAGTTGTTCAGCTTAATGCTCCACATTATATTGCGACATCATTCCACATTAAAAATGTATAAAGATACTTTTTCTTTTAAAATAATGTCCGAGCTGAGAATTTTTATTAAGTAAACTATTTTATAAATTTTTGTCTTACCATGTTGAACAATTATTTAGAATTGAAATATCAAAGGAGAGATTTAAAAAAAGAAACTTATTTTTCACAAATTTGCGTGAGAGGCCGGCTTTTCAATTTGCGAAAGGAGGTCTGCCATGCAATATCAACCACATGTAAGTTATATTCTTATCCATATACTTAATTGACAATAAGTCTTTTAGGAGTAGTTAACTCCATTTTCAACACATTTTTTTTGTAATAACTTGTAAAGAGGAACAACCTTAACCATGTGTGACGACGATATATGACCACCACCAATTTTTGGACATACCATATCGTAACTACTGCGGCTCATTATTTCCACTCATAATAACAACCTTCAAATCTCTTCATTCTTGGATACTCAAAATACGCCTAATACTCCATGAACCATCAGGCATTAGACTTTAATTTATTATAAGTACATGCATGATCTGAGTTGTAATTAATAAATTAGTTGCCGGGGATTAATTAAACTGATTAATATATTCCACAAAGCATTAAATTAAAGCAGCACCCACACCCATCTTTGAAACCCTTCCACCCACCTCCATCTTATTGGCCGGCCGGGACCCGAACAATAACCATCAGCTACTCCTGTATATGTGTGTACCATCATAACTAGGATGTTATTCAATTAATTTTAAACTATAATTCGCCAAATTGGAATTATTATTTGTAAATTTGTTGATCAAAATTTGTAGGAGTTAATTGGATGGAAATTACCATATACCAAAATGGTGGATTTTTTGTCTACTTATTAGGTGTTAGACGCTATTTCCGTCCAATATTAGGTATTGATCAGAAATTTTGAAGGTAAATTTTTCTGATCTCGATATTGGTTGAAATTAAAGTCGAATTTCGTCGTAATAAAACTGTTACCGTCTAATTTTCGTTGGTCGTGAATTGCGAGATTTCTTGCCATGCCGGATAAAATCACCTAATTTTTTGAGACAAATATTTAGTACATTTGTACATGGTCCACTATTCTTCCACTTGAACTACTGTAGTATGCAACCAATTTCAACGTATAATGTCAACAGGGGTAGGCCTATTTGACCTTGAAGTATGAATACGTCTCCCATCTACACGCATATGTATTGACCTGCCTTGCTACAGTGCTACACCAGAATTTTTATTTTTATTTTTAACAAAAACAAAAACAAATTGCTGCTATCTCATAATCAAATTAGGCTCTATTTCATTAAAAAAAAAAAAGAAAGAAGTATATATATATATATATATATATATATATATATATATATATATTAACTATAACAAACTATATATAGAAGTATATAACTATGGACGAGCTTTTAGTTTGTCACATGAACATGCCTTATAAGTATTAATTATTCTCTTTTAACTATAAAAGCTATACCCCTTTATAGTAAATTAAAGGCATATGGAATCTAGATGGTACATGTGGCAATATACACAAAAAAATATATTATTATTATTGTGACAGTAGTTTTTCTTCTAATTGAAAATTTGAAGTTGTTATCTTTGTTTACTTATTTCTTTGTTAATAGCAATGTAACTGAAACTTGACTAGCTTCATCACGTACTAATAATTAAGCAAAAATTACTGTTTGGATGAAGAAAAAAAATGATAATTTTCTAGCTAAGCTAAAGTATAGATTAATACAGCAATAATGTATTTAAATGAGAAAGTTAGGTGTGGATGGGTAAGCAGTGTTCAACAGTTTAGTATAAAATGCTATAATTTAATTAGTCAACATTAATTTGGTCATCAATTATTATTTCTTCAATTTCAGTTACCTAAGCACAATATATTGAAATTGTGTCAATTTGTTGGTTCAAAAAGCAATTAATAATTAAGGAATTGAAGAGGATTGAAAGTAGTCAAGTTCACATTAAGAGGTACTTTTTTCTGATTCTGAAAATTAAGGATTACAGAACATAAGTGGATGCAAGGCCAGGCTCGCTACATGCAGCCACGGGCTCAGGCAACAATAACTCAAACTGAAACTTATCGATACAATAATAATAATAATAATATAACATTAATTAATTATTCTAAACTGCCTTTTAGTCTTCTTCTTCTTCTTCTAAGCAAAGCAAAATTTTGCTTTAATTGTTTGGATAATGGCAGCTTAGCTTAATCGTTAATAACGGCTGAAGATACGGGGACATGCAGCATTGGTGCAGGAAGCTTCGGCTGGACGGCCGTTGTAGGTGAGCTTAACGTCGTCCACCGTTATCCCGCTGCACGGCCGGCTTTTGCTGCACTGTAACTCCACGCCCACCTCCGTCGCCGACGTCCCGTGGATGTCTTCAAACGTTATGCCGCTGATCTTAATCCCCGACGACTGGTGGGGGCAGTTCTCGTTATGGGGACAGTAGTTCTGGTCAATGATGATGGGGTTGTGGACGTCCACCATGGTTGCGCGCTGGAAAAGAACGTTTCTCACATACCCATTGCTCGGCCTCGCCCACGTCTTGATCCGAACTCCGTTCTCCGTTCCGGTGAACTGAACGTTCCTCACCTTCACGTTTTCCACCCCCGCCTCCTGCGCAGACCACCCTAGACTCCCAATACTGCACAAAAATGCAACATAATGAAGTTAACCAGAAAGTTACAAGTTGGACTACTGGCCTGAACAATTTATATTATTAGTTTATTTTTACTCAATTTATACTCTCTTAAGTAACTTCGGGTTTCTCTGATCACTTTGTACCTTATTCCGTGGCCGGGGCCGCAAGCGATGCTTTGGACCAATAGGTTGGTGGTGCCGGGGCCAATGGAGATGCAGTCATCGCCCGTGCCTATATTGGAATTGGTGATGGTAACTCCGGAGGAAGACTGGACGTGGAT